ATTCCTTGAATGAGATATTTTTCAAAATTCTCTAAATATTCTTCCCTACATTTTCGTAACATAAAATAGTTATCGTCCCTAGCTATTATAAATATAGCATCTCTTAACCACTATATTCATCATTCCTTCAAAAACCTAAAACAAAAATGGCGAATAATTTGCAGTTGTCTTTCTTGAGCGATATCAAACCGAGGAAAAATGCATGTCGCATCCAAGTCAAAATCCTTCATACATGGAGACATTTCATGAAAGACATAAGCGAGACCATGGAACTGATCCTTTGTGATGCAAATGTAAGTTTATTGTTTTCATATAATTATGCATATACATATTCATTTCATTTCGTAAAAGTTTAAACTAAATTATAATGTTTTATTTATTTTTATATAGGGACCTAAGATTCATGCCTCGTGTAACAAGACATACATTCCTGAATTGGCAAAACATATTCGTGTAGGAGTATGGAGGAACATTGATGGTTTCAGTGTGTTTGCCGCTGGTGGAGCATACAGATCAACTCAGCATAAGTATCGCATAGCTTTTAATGGCACCACCAAGATCTGCGATTCTACACACCGTGATGATAACATGTTTCTTGATCTGGTTGATTTCAAAACCATAGAAAGTACCATAGATACAAACTTCCTTATTGGTCAGTTTTCTTCCATTTTTAAACCATAGAAAGTACCAAAGTCACGTATGTTACTCGGATATTCCTGAAGAGTTTCTTATTCTTGATGTAGAAGATTCTATTGAGTTTATAAGCCAAGCTGTGTATGGTGATGTTGTTTCTTTACACCAGAATAAAGAACCTAAATTTTTTCAAGTGAGAGCAATACTATATCCAACTAACTAGGATATCGAGAAGATTAATCAACACATGTTGGATAAACTCGATGGTTAGTTATTAATTTTATGTTATCAATATGAATTATTGTACATTCATATGTCAAGTTAACATAATATTTTTTTAAATATTTCAGGTGAGGAAATGATCTTCTTAAGTTCTGATACGATAGATGCTTCAGATGAATTTTCAGTTAACGATCAAGCTCTTACTCCAGATTTCTTAAATACCATCAAACTCCCAGGTTTGCAAACCATAGTCTTAGCTTAAAGATTGGTTGTACTATTATGTTGCTCAGAAACATAGATCCCACTGGCGGATTAATGAATGGGACGCGACTTTAGGTTACAGAGATGTACCCTTACATTATAAAGGAAAAAGTTATTACATGAGATAAGGATAAGGTTGGTCGAGTAGTTCTTATTCCTAGGCTTGCTATTATCCCTTCTGACAAGAAGTTACCTTTCAAGATGAGGAGGAGGCAACTTCATGTTTCTGTTGCGTTTGTTATTACAAGCAATAAGAGTCAGAGACAATTTCTATCAGAAATGGGCATCTACCTACCAAGGCCTGTTTTTTCTCATAGCCAATTATATGTGGCTATTTCAAGAATTACATCCAAAAAGGGGTTGGAGATTTTAATTGTGGACGATAAAGGGAAGCCTCAGAGACAAACATTGAATGTCGTTTACAAAGAGATCTTCCAGAATCTCTGATTTTTTCAATAACGTTGTTTTATTTTTATATACTATAGAATGCATTTCCAATTCAGGAATTTGATCTCTAAAATTTAGTTTAACTTTCGTTTTCAAAAGTCTATATTATATTATGAACAGAATATGATACTAGCAGCCAAATCTATACATTTTAACTACCATATCATTCGACTTTATATCTACAAAAAATCTCATAATGAACAGGATCATGTATTTCATCAAATCATAGAAATTTTTATCTAATCCATTTCAAAAATAGATGCCAATTTTTGACCCAATTATATTGGGCTTCTTAATTATTAATATCTGATGGGCTATTAGTCAGATTACCTATTTATGTTAAACCTTGAAACCTACTAATGTTTAGGTTTAGTTCTTATCTACATAAGACTCTTTGATTGACTGCAATAACCATAATATCTCTTCATTTATCTTTCTCTCATCGGAAAACGGTATTTTCTTTCTATGTTCTTTCTATTCTTTTGTTCTTTAAGAGATGTTGTTCTGTTGTTAGATTTGTTCTATCTTAATCTGTTTCGAATCATCTAGCTAGAATAAACTGTCATAAAAGGTTCTTTGTTCATATTTTATTGAATATTGTCATTCTAGAGTTATAGTATCAGTTACGCTTTACGTTCCATTGTCTGAATATTTTATAAATCCTGTTAAATTTTGTGGATCTAACTATAGAAGTTATTTTAGGGTTAACATATATTTTATGTGAATTTATTTTAGATCTTACATCTACATAATAAATGTTTAGGGAACTATATTTCCATATTTGTTTCCTAAACTTAATAGTTTGTTTCTTTGTTTTTTTCATCCTAAAGCATATAAGACATGTTGTTCTGTTGTTAGATCTGTCCTGCCTTGAATTTTGATATGTCGCTAGGTTACAAATCTTATTTTATTGAATATTGGCAGTCTATGATTAGATTTTCAGTTACTGTTTTGTTTTCCCTTCTATGAATATTTTATTAACAGTTTTAAATTTAGAGGAAATAAATATAGAAGAAATTTTGGGATTACAAATCTTCATAGTTAATTTATGTTATATCTTACGGTTTATTATATTTCCTTATTTGTTATATTTGTTTTCTAAAATTAATATTTTGTTTCTTGAACATTGAGAAGTATCTCAATGGTAGATAACAAGGATCTCAAAATGAAAGGTCAACTGATGGAGGAAAAAAAAGAAACTGTGAAGGAGGCTTACCAGAGGGGTAGGTTCGAGACCATGCATCATTATAGGGATATGATGGTGATGTATCGTGACCATACTAAAGCTATTGAGGCAAGACACCGGTAGGAACTCAATGCGAAACTTGAGTTCCTTGAAGAATGTGAAGCTCATTTTCCATGTACCATGAAAAGAAGAAGACAGAGTTTGAACTGGTCCTTGCCGAAGACAAACTTGAAGATGTTCAGGTTCCTACTATCGATTTGTTCAAGCTGGGTGAGCCAATGATGTATGACTGAACATCTAACAAATCCAAATCTCAAACTTAATGTTTTACGTTTATTTTAAATCATTTTTTTTTTAATTTGAACATTATATACCGGTTGTTTACAACCGGTTTGTTTTATTAAAAACTTTATTATTAATGTTTATTATTGTTTGATCTACTCTTATTCCTTTATTTATTACTTGATTTACTCATATTTTAGGCGTTTTAGGATTATTTTTGTTTAGAAATAATGGTTTTAGTTATGTTTACTATTATTAGGTTTAATAGTATAGATTATGTTGTGTTTAGAAGTTTAATGATTAGATACGAAATATTTCTTTTCTCTTTATTAAACAACTATCCGATTTTTAAACTTTATCTTTTTCTTATTTAGTAATCTTAATTTTAGAATATATGTTTGTTATGATTTTGTTTTGACAATTCCGAAATGTACTTCTGATATGATTGACAAGTATCTCATCTTCCAAAACGATTCTTTTATAAAGTTTCTTCAATGATGTTCTTTCCAAGATGTAATAATTTGACATTTTTGGTTTTATATTCAGATTTTTCCACCAAAATATTTCGTATATTTATTGATTTTATCCATGTCAAATAATCATTACTCTTTTTGACCACTTTGCTACATGCAAAAATCAAATATAATAATAGGATAGTTTAATAATATTCTTTTGAAAGTATTTATGCAGTGGATTATTTAAATATGATAAGACTTTTGTTATAATAATATTTTAAATATTTCAAATTTTACACTATTTTGTAGTATGATTTTACATGTTAGATCATGGTTTATCTTTAGAATTTCTTCTATTTTTAAAACTATATTATTTTTAATCGTAGATGTTATTATTTTACAACTTAGGTTGAATTTGATTATGGGCTATGGATCCATCCAATTTTATAGTAAGAATTTCTTTAAGTTTACTATGGGCTTTGGCTCCATCCAATCAAATTTCACATACTATGAGCTTTGGCTGCATCCAATCAAATTTCACATACAAATTTCACATACTATAGGCTTTGGCTCCTTCCAATCAATTTCACATACAAATCTATCCCACACTATATTTTTGGTTAAATATACATCAAATTTCACATACAAATCTATCAAATAATACAAATCGAATAATTTGATAACAAACAGTTAGAACCAAAAAAAAATCTGCGCTTCTCAAAATCTAGTTATCTATATTAAAATTGTAATAGTATTGATCATTACAAAACCTATAAAGTAAAATGTATAACATAAATACAACGAATTTATTTTATACGATAAATCAAATATATGAGAAGTTAAATCAATTTTCAAAAAATATTATAATATTTTCTGAGTTTTTGCTGGATAAACTAGTGTCAGTTTCACAGATTAATGGTGGCGTTCTGAAATTTATTAAATTTTAATTAATAAATTTTCATTAAATCTAAATTTTATGAAAATATATCAGTTGGTATTTGAAGAACATAAGCCATTCTGAGTCATATACGACCAACATGTTTAAAAATGCTCGATTATTTGTGAAATCCAGTTCAATTTTGGTTTTCGTTTTCAATTTGATACGGTTCGGTCCAGCTTCAAATAAATATATCCAAACTTATACACTATCTTATATAGAAATTCAATGGAAAAAAATTCATATATTTTTGAAAAAAAAATCTGTGATTTTTAAGTGCGTATCAAAATCTAGTTAAATTTAATATACATACATAAGTAACTAGAAATTTAAATAAAAATGTGAGTGAAAGCTAGAATCCATCGAACACCGATGTTGTCGGCTGTTGTAAAAGCCCTTACTCTTTCCATTACCGTGCTGTTTCGCCCATATCTTCTTCTTCATCTCTCTCACTCTTCTTAGGCTCCTCTCACTTTCACGTTCACTTTCACTTTCATTTTCACTCTCTGTCTCCTAAACCTTCTCATCCGCGCTGTAACTGCTACAGAAGCCAATTGTAATATAGACCAATAAAGCCATGCGTTTCTCGCTGACCACCACCTCTCCTGCTCCATGCCTAACCAGCCTCTTCGTGTCGCCGTCCTCCTCAGCGCTGGCGTCGATAGCAGCGTTTCCCTCCGCCTCCTTCACGCTGTTGGACACTCCTGTACCGCTTTCTATCTCAAAATCTGGTTCCAGGTTTGCGTAATATTCATCTAGTGTTTGTATCGGACTCTGCCTACAACATGGGGGTTTGTGATGCTCCGTAGGAAGGCTTTGAGAATTTCTAAAACGAGTGTCCCTGGGAAGACGATTTGAAGTATGCAATTTTTTTTTTTTTGTGTTCAGTTCAAAGTAATTATTTTTTTGACTTATCTGGTATAGATTAACTTTATATTCCCAGGTGAATTCATGGATGCAATCAATGATATGGAGTATGACTATATAGCTTCAGGAGTATGCTAAAGTTGCCCATCCTCCTGTTGATCAAAGTGATTCATCATCTGTTTTGGAACTATCTCTAGACATGGTGACACTCATGACTTTAGAATGTCACTTATTAGGTTGAATGTTTGCATTGTACCTAGTGTTGCAGTCTACTTGTGGTACATTTTTTTTGGTTTTTGGTACCTCTGCCATTTAATCTTCTCTATTTTTCTTCTTTTTTTCCAGGTGAAAGATCAGACCTACTTCCTCTCATATCTCTCTCTGTTGGGATTTAGTGAATAAGCTCATGAAAGAATCAAGTTGGTCTCAAACGTGGTGAAGAAGCAACAATGTTTTAATGACAAAACCACGTGGATCTTCCTCGCTGCAGGACCACATGTCTAGTCGTTTGCTGCAGCTGATAAAGGCAAAAGCAAACTGCTATTTGTCAGGTATTGAACTAGAAGATAAGACCGAGTTCATTGATTTGGTTTGTACAAGATGAGCAATGAAGTGGAATCAAAACGAAATCAAAGAGGCATCTAGGTCATTGAGTTCTTTACTATATAAGAAAAACATTGTACTGAGAATAAGAAAACACAGAGAGAAGAAAGAGTAGAGCTTTAAACATAGCATAAACTTGTATTTAGTTCTTGGGAAAGGGGTAGAGAGTGAGACCAAGAGAAGAATTTTAAGGGCTTTGTGGTGAGTGAAATCTCTCTTGTAACCTCTGATCTAGTGGATTCCGGGAGTGAGTTCCCGGCCCAGACTAACACCCTAGTTAACGGGTGTAACTGGGTTAACAATCTCTGTTGTGTTCTTGTGCTCTTCATCATGTTGTGTGCTCTGTTTTCTTTCTCTGTTTCACACTGTCTTTTGCGTTTGTGTCTATCTTGTCTTGAAGGCTTATTCTTGGTGTGTGGTAGGAACGTATGAGCTAAAGGAGACGTCTTGAGGCTGTGTTGTTCTTCACAGATTGGTATCAGAGCACCAGGTTGTAGTAACTGGTGGTGGTTTCTGAAGACTTAACAGTCAAACAGAAGCCAAGACAACGTCAAGTATTAAGCTGGAGAAATTTGATGGTCATGGGGATTATACGCTGTGGAAAGACAAGTTGTTAGCTCAGATAGATCTTCAAGGCTTGAGCAAAGCTTTGGAAGAATCTGGGAAACCAACAGAGAAAGTCTCAGATCCGGATGAGACAAGTGAAGATAAGAAAGAAGCTGAAGAAAAGGCAGAAACTTTAGCTGAGAAAGTGAAGAAAGCTAGAAGTATTATCATCTTGAGTGTCACAGACAGAGTTCTGAGGAAGATAAGGAAAGAAGAGACAGCTGCTGGAATGATTGAAGCACTGGATAAGCTCTATCTTGCTAAGGCTCTTCCAAATAGATTCTACCTCAAACAGAAGCTCTATGGATTCAAGATGTCTGATAGTACATCTATTGAGAGTAACATCGATGAGTATCTTCATCTCATAACGGATTTATAGAACATTGGTGTTATGGTGTCTGATGAAGACCAAGCAATCTTGCTACTTATGTCTCTACCTAGACAGTTTGATCAACTCCGAGATACCTTAAGGTATGGCTCAGGGAGAACAACACTGACGCTTGATGAAGTTGTTGCAGCCATATATGCTAAGGAACTAGAGAATGGTTCTAACTCTCGTAGTTCAAAAGGACAAGCTGAGAGCTTGTATGTCAGAGACAGAGGTGATCAAAGAGGAAGGTCAGATTACAGAGACAGAGCTTCAAGACAATCGAAGTCAAGATCAAAGTCTAAAAGCAAGAAAGTGTGTTGGACTTGTGGAGAAGAGGGTCACTTCAGGAATACTTATCCAAACAAGAACAAGTTTCAAAACAAGTCTAAACAACAAGCGAGTAGCAGTAGAGGTGAGGCTGCTATGGTAAAAGAAAATAAGAATGAAGCTGCAGGTTTGTATGTGTCAGAAGCACTGCTGTTGACGGACATAAATCTTGAAAACGAGTGGGTTATGGACACTGGATGCAGTTATCATATGACTCATAAGAGGGAGTTGTTTGAAACTTTGAGAGAAGATGTTGGAGGATCTGATCGTATGGGAAACAAGACTACGTCCAAGGTGAAAGGAATTGGTAACATCAGGATCAAAAATGAGGATGGTACCACTTTTCTGCTTACTTGTGTGAGGTACATTCCTGAAATGGATAGAAATCTTCTATCTATGGGAACATTAGAAGAACTTGGATGCAGTTTTGAATCAAAGAATGGGGTCTTAAGTGTCAAAGAAGAAACCAGAACTCTTATGAAAGGAAAGAGGTATGAGAAGCTCTACACTCTGCAGGGAAAACCAGAGGTTGGTCAGATGTATGCAACAGAGAAGAAGCGTGATGATACTGTCTTTTGGCACAGAAGGTTAGGTCACATGAGTCAGAAGAACATTGACGTATTGGTCAGGAAAGGTCTTCTAGACAGAAGGAAGGTCTCTGTAATGGAGATGTGTGAAGACTGTGTATATGGTAAGGCAAAGAGAGTCAGTTTCTCAGTAGCAACTCATGATACTAAGGAACGTTTAGACTACATCCATTCAGATTTATGGGGAGCACCAAGCGTACCATTGTCCTTGGGAAAGTGTCAATATTTCATCTCATTTATTGATGACTTTACTAGGAAGACATGGGTGTAATTTCTGAAGCACAAGGATGAAGCATATGACACGTTTGTGGAATGGAGTACCATGGTTGAGAATCAAGTTGAGAGAAAGATCAAGATACTGAGAACTAACAACGGTCTTGAGTTCTGCAACACAAAGTGTAACAATTTCTACAAAGAAAAAGGAATTTTGAGGCATAGAACATGTGCATACACTCCTCAGCAAAGTGGTATTGTTGAGAGAATGAATCAGACCATAATGGAAAAGGTGAGAAATATGTTGAGTGACTCAGGTTTACCTCAGTCTTTTTGGGCCGAAGCAACTCAGACTGCAGTAACTTGATCAACAAGACTCCTTCTTCTGCAATAAATTTTGAGATTCCAGACAAGAAATGGTATGGGAAGTCTCCTGGTTACAGCTACCTGAGAAGGTTTGGATGTGTTTGCTTTGCTCATACTGATGACGGTAAGCTTACACCAAGAGCAAAGAAAGCTGTGATGCTGGGTTATCCATCAGGAGTTAAAGGCTACAAAGTTTGGTTGCTAAAAGAAAAGAAATGTATGATTAGTAGAAGTGTGATATTTCAGGAAAATGCTGTATACAAAGATGTGGTTCAGAGAGGGAAACAGATTCAGGGTAGTCAGTATGAAAGTTCAGAGTTTGTTTTCAACATTGATCCAGAGGGAACTGAAGATGCAGGTTCATGTGGAGATCTCTCGGAAGAGATAGGATCCCTGGGAGACTCTACACCTGATGAGAATGGTCAGCCTGAAGATACTGAAGCTACAGAAGAAGAAGAACTTGATCATCCAGAACATGTAGATGAACAAGATCAAAATCAGAATCAAGAAGCTGTTGAATCACTAGAGAGTTATCATCTTGTCAGAGACAGAGCTAGAAGGGAAGTAAGAGCTGCAAGGAGATTTGATGTGGAGGGATACTTTAGTGAGGATACTGACGATGAAGATGACTGCTTTGATGCAGAAGCACTCATTACTACGGTTGATGGAGAGATTAAAGAACCTGGAAGTTATCAAGAAGCAAGGCTTAGTGATGATTGGGAGTTCTGGAAAGAGGGAATGAGTGATGAGATGGTATCACTGGACAAGAATCATACATGGACTGTGGTTGAGAGGCCAAAAGGACAACGTGTAATTGGTTGCCGCTGGATTTACAAATATAAATCTGGAATTCCAGGGGTTGAACCACCAAGGTACAAGGGTAGACTTGTTGCTAAAGGCTATGCTCAGAGAGAGGGAGTTGACTATACTTAGATCTTATCTCCAGTAGTCAGACATGTATTTATAAGGATATTACTGTCTGTTGTTGTTGAAGAAGATCTAGAGCTTGAACAGCTTGATGTCAAGACTGCCTTCTTGCATGGAGAGCTAGATGAAAAGATCTACATGGAACCTCCTGAAGGATTTGAAGATCGTTTTAAATCAAATCAAGTTTGTCTTCTGAATAAAGCACTGTATGGTCTTAAGCAAGCACCAAGGATGTGGAATGAGAAGTTTGATGGGTATATGTCTGAGATTGGTTTCACCAAAAGTCTCAGAGATAGTTGCGTGTATATCAAGACATGTGAAGATGAATCAAAGGTCTATTTACTCATATATGTGGATGATATGTTGGTGGCAGCTAAAGACAAGAGAGTCATTGTTGATCTGAAGCAGAAGCTAAGTGTTAAGTTTGACATGAAAGATCTAGGGCCAGCCAAGAAAATTCTTGGTATGGAGATCAAAAGAGACCGAGTTGCAGGGAAGTTGTGGATGGGTCAAGAAAGCTATCTCAGAAAGGTGTTAGAGTTGTATAAGATGGATGGGTCTAATAAAGTGATAACACCATTAGGTGCTCACTTAAAGCTGAAAGCTGCTACACCAGAACAACTGAGAAGTGATGTAGAATACATGAAGTCGGTTCCTTATGCTAATGCAGTAGGAAGCATCATGTACTCTATGATTGGTACAAGACCTGATCTAGCATACCCAGTGGGAATTATCAGCAGATTCATGGGGAATCCTATCAAAGAACATTGGTTAGGAGTCAAATGGGTTTTGAGATACATCAAAGGTACACTGGAGACAAAACTCTGCTACAAGAAAGGGTCAGAATCTGTGCTTAGAGGGTATTGTGACTCAGATTATGCAGCTGACATGGATGGTAGAAGATCTATCAGTGGTGTAGTGTTCACTCTAGGAGGAAACACAATCAGTTGGAGATCTTCTCTTCAACGAGTGGTAGCTTTATCCACTACTGAAGCTGAGTATATGGCTCTTACAGATGCTGTAAAAGAAGCATTGTGGCTTAAGGGAATTCTCAGAGAATTCAGATATAAGCAGGGAAGGGTTGAGATTTTCTGTGACTCTCAAAGTGCCATATCATTGTCAAAGAAAAATGTCCATCATGAAAGAACCAAGCATGTGGACACTAAGTTTCACAAGATCAGACAAGTTATAGCCGATGGTCATGTGAGTGTTTTGAAGATATCTACATTGAGCAATCCTGCTGATATCTTCACAAAAGTCTTACCAGTCAGTAAGTTTCAAACCGCACTGAACTTACTGAGGGTGAAGACTGAGTAATCCTTCTCAGGATCCGGGACAGGAATCCTGCAACTAGATCACAAGTGTTAATCTCTATGTCTCAGGTATGTGCTTCTGTTTGACTATGGTTTATGATCTTTATTCACTAGGTGGAGAATTGTTGGGATTTAATGAATAAGCTCATGAAAGAATCAAGTTGGTCTCAAACGTGGTGAAGAAGCAACAATGTTTTAATGACAAAACCACGTGGAGCTTCCTCGCTGTAGGACCACATGTCTAGCCGTTTGCTGCAGCTGATAAAGGCAAAAGCAAACTGCTATTTGTCGGGTATTGAACTAGAAGATAAGACCGAGTTCATTGATTTGGTTTGTACAAGATGAGCAATGAAGTGGAATCAAAATGGAATAAAAGAGGCATCTAGGTCATTGAGTTCTTTACTATATAAGAAAAACATTGTACTGAGAATAAGAAAACACAGAGAGAAGAAAGAGTAGAGCTTTATACATAGCATAAACTTGTATTTAGTTCTTGGGAAAGGGGTAGAGAGTGAGACGGAGAGAAGCATTGTAAGGGCTTTGTGGTGAGTGAAATCGCTCTTGTAACCTCTGATCTAGTGGATTCCAGGAGTGAGTTCCCGGCCCAGACTAACACCCTAGTTAACGGATGTAACTGGGTTAACAATCTCTGTTGTGTTCTTGTGCTCTTCATCTTGTTGTGTGCTCTGTTTGCTTTCTCTGTTTCACACAGTCTTTTGCGTTTGTGTCTATCTTGTCTTGAAGGCTTATTCTTGGTCGGTGGTAGGAACGTATTAGCTAAAGGAGATGTCTTGAGGCTGTGTTGTTCTTCATACTCTCAAAATCAGCTTAAGCGACTGCTATTCCCACTTGGCTGCGTTAAGAAGGTACTGGAGGAAGTTGCCTGTATGCAAAATTGTGAAACACAAAATGAAAACCATTTTATTTGTTTGCCCTTGTGATCTCCAGGAAGAAGTTCGCAAACTTGCCACACAATTTGATTTGCCAAATAAAGATACAAAGGATTCACAAGGAATATGTCTTCTTGGGAAGGTATACTTTCTAGTCTGCTCGTCTGGTTTACGATAGTCTTACAAGTCTGAAACATATGGATATGATTTTCTTCTGTCGGAAAACACATAGGAGAGATGGAAGAGGTTATATTGGAAGCTGAAACTGGCGATTTCCTCGGTAACCATCGGGGGTTTTGGTTTTACACTATTGGACAACGCCGAGGCTTGCGTTTACCCAGTGGACCCTGGTTAACATCTCTGCCATTGTTTCTAGTTCCAGCTTAAAATCTTAATACATTGTATCTATGAGATCATTTCCTCCCTATCTCTGTGCAGGTATGTTGTTGAGAAGGACACCAAGAACAATGTCGTGTTTGTCTCAAGAAACTACTAGTCAATCGACAAGAGAAGGCTGATTTTCCGTGTTGGCTCCTTGAGATGGCTTAGTGTGAAACCTTCAGACAATGTTAGTGATAAATTTTCGATATCTCAAACTTGTAAAACTCAGAAACTCTTGTATTAAATGAATAACGAAGTTTACAGACTCGATTAGTATCTCTCTAATACAAAATACAAATCTGAAAACAAATACTCGATCTCAAGTTCTCATCACGAACTTGAGCTCAGACTCATCATGTCTAACATCAGCAACAATATCAAGCATAAAAGACTCAATCCAAACGATCCTCTTATTTAAAGTAGTCTAACGGCTATAACGGCGAACCCTCCCATCGAATCGGAATCTTTGCTCAACTCTTCAATATTCATTAATAGCCGAACCCTCCACTCCAAACAGATTCATCTCTCCCGAACCCTCCACATCTAAACCTTCTGTATCAACTAAAGTCTTTTCCTTCCCTGCATTCTTCTTCCTTCGAATGTATACTTGTTGATACCTATCAATACTCCCTCCTTTGAAACTCAGCTTGTCCTCAAGCTTAAAAAATGGAAACTGATCAACAAACTCCGTATATGAGAGCCAAGAATTCTCGTGAGAGGGACAATCCTTCCAGTGAATCAATAACTCCAAATGACCCTCATCATTATAGCGATGAGCAAGCACCTCCTCAGGAACACGCAGCTGCTCAACTTCATGTAACAACTCAATAGGTAAAGGAGTAATACGCAAACATTGACCCAGTGCCAACTTCAACTGAGACACATGGAAAACAGGGTGGATCTTAGAAGAAGCTGGTAATAAAAGACGGTAAGTTGTTTTACCAACTCGAGCCACAATTTTAAATGGACCAAAGAAATTTGCAGCAAGCTTCTGACACACACGTTTCACCACCGACTATTGCCTATAAGGCTTCAGTTTCAAGAACAGAGAATCACCTACAGCAAACTCAACATCCCTCCTATGAATATCCGCATACTTCTTCATTAATTCCTGAGCTCTTAAAAGATTTAGACGTATCTGTTCCAACATAACATCACGTTCTCTCAACGCAGTTTCCAACTCAAAGTTTTTAGTAGAACCTTCTTCAAAATGCAACAGTGAAGGTGGTTCACGACCATAAACCACCGAGAAAGGAGAAGCTTTCAGTGATGTGTGAAAGGACGTATTATACCACAACTCAGCCCACGCAAGTAACTTGTGCCAAGTCGTCGGATGTGAAGAAGCAAAGCAGCGCAAGTACGTCTCCAAGCAACGATTTAAGACCTCTGTCTGACCATCAGTCTGAGGATGGAATGCTGTACTAAACTACAGCTTTGTCCCCGCTAGTTTAAACGTGTCAGTCCAAAAAGCACTGAGGAAAATACGGTCCCTATCCGAAACAATGCTCCTTGGAAACCCATGTCAGCGAACCACTTCATTAACAAACTTCAATGCCACATCCATAATAAAATGGCTATACTTACTGGGCCTATCTACCACCACCAAGATCACATTTATGCCCTGAGATGTTGGCAAACCTTCAATTAAATCCAACGAAATATCCTCCCAAATCTGATTAGGAACATGTAAAGGTTGCAACGATCCTGCTGGAGACAAAGTTGAATATTTATGAGTTTGACAAACAAAGCATTCTGATACATAATCCTGCACTGTCTTCATCATGCCTTCCCAATAGAACTGTTGTTGAATGCGCTTGACGGTCTTTACAACTCCAGAATGTCCACCCAGTTGGCTATCATGAAACTCTCTCAATAGCACTGGAATAAACTGAGACTGCTTAGGTAACACCAACCTCCTCTTGTACCACACTCGACCATCCAACACCTGATAATGCGCATTCCCACACCCCTCTGTAACACGCTTCAGTAACCTATGTAACTCCTCATCTACATCAATTCCCCTGTAAAGATCATGTAGCTGTAATGCCATAGGAACCGTTAAAACCAACAACAAGACACTTGAAGATCCCACAGCCTTCTCCATACAACGAGACAACCCATCCACAGCTTTATTCTCACATCCAAGTTTGCAAAAAATCTCAAAGTCATAGCCTAACAGTTTAGTAAGCCACCTCTGATACTCCATATTGACTTCCTTCTGCTCAAGTAAAAACTTTAAACTCCTCTGATCAGTATGCACAATGAACTTTCTTCCCAACAAATAATGTCTCCACTTGAGTACAGCCATCACCACTGCCATCAACTCTCTTTCATAAGTCGGCTTCAACTGCTCCCTATCTGTTAACGCATGACTAAAAAATGCAATCGGATTCTTGTCTTGCATTAACACAGCACCAAGACCATAACCAGAAGCATCGGACTCGGCAATAAATGTTTTAGTAAAGTCAGGCAAAGCTAATACAGGAACAGTCACCATAGCATTCTTCAACTTCTCAAATGCTTCCGCTGCCTCATGAGACCATTCAAACTTATCTTTCTTCAGCAACGTTGTTAGAGGCTTAGCCAACACACCATAATTCCTCACAAAGCATCTATAATAACCTATCAGACCCAAGAAGCCCCTAAGCTGCTTAATTGTTTTGGGAACAGGCCAAGCTCTCATTGCTGCAGTCTTAGTAGATTCAGTAGAAACCCCTGCACAAGAAATGATGTGCCCCAAATACTCCACCTCCTTCAACCCAAACACACACTTTTTCTTGTTAGCCAACAACGTATGCTCATGAAACACACTCAAGACTGCCGTAAGATGTTTCACATGTACATCCATGGACTGACGGAAGATCAAAATATCATCAAAGAAAACCAAAACAAACTTTCGAAGAAACAGTTTAAATAAACGATTCATCAAAGCTTGGAATGTGGCAGGAGCATTAGTCAATCCAAAAGGCATCACCAAGAACTCATGATGACCTTCAATTGTTCTGAAAGCTGCCCAATCCTTTAACTATAACTCCATTACCAAGAAGTACATCTAGGCTACTATCAGCATAAACTCTCAAGTGTAGCCTCTTCACAACGGGGGAAATGAAATTGTGGGATGCTCCTGAATCAAGCAAGACTATCATCTCACAGTTACCTATCTGGCCAACTAACTTTGTTGTCTTAGGAGAATTGATCCCCAAGAATGCATTAAAAGACAACGTTTTAAGCTCCGCCTTACAACCATTACCAGTCCATAAAATTTCTTCGTCAGGATCCTCCAAAACCTCCACATCAAATCCATTCATAACCGTCATGACTCGCAACTCTCTGTTAGGACAAACCGCCGCATGAGCTCTTGACCACTTAGCTCCACATTTAAAACACACACCTTCTCTACGCATATTGTCCAACTCAGCATCTGAATATTTCTGACGAGGACGTTGCCCTGACTTCAAACCAGTTACTTCCTTCTGTTTTGCATCCACTACCAAATTTTTCCGGCCCTCGGGTTGAAATGAAGACTTTTCCTGGTTTTTACTCTCTTGTTTCAACCAAGATTTAGATACTCCAGAAGCAGATGCAACATTTCCACTCACCACTTTGCAGAATGCACTTGTTTCCATTCTTAAAACCGCTGCAATATAGTTCTGCAAACCTTGAGGATCCTTCATCTCCGGAGATAAGTCATTATAGAAAATTCTCTCCAAATGGTGATCTTCAAGGTCTGGTACTTGAGAAGATAGGTCTTCAAACTCAGAGATATACGCAGCTACCGTACTAGTCTGTCTCAAGGCAAACAACCTCGTTTCTGGTTCATCATCAATAGATTCAGCAAACCGCAAGACCAATCTCTCCTTGAAATCATTCCAACCTCGAAAACCATCTCGCTTAATCAGCCAACCAAACCATTTCTTCACAGGACCTTGTACACATAGAGGAATTAGCTCCATCTTCGCTACATCACTGTACCTTCCTATCGTAAAAAAATGTTCTACATCCACCAGCCATTCATATGTACGCGAACCATCCAGCAAAGGCATTTCTACTTTCTTCAACATACTATCACGATTCGCCAAATTCAAATCCTCAGATCAATAACCTAACGCGGAATCCCGATTTCGTTCCCACTGATCAGATCGTACCTGTTGGATCGACGACGGAGACGCGGAGTGATCCAACGGTTGTTGAATCGGTTGTTTTCCGAGCGCTTTAGTCAATGCGTTCATCGCCGTAGTCAGCTCCGATACATCTCTCTGTAACGAACTCAAGGTCTCATTCGTCGTATCGTTAGCATCCTTCAGCCGCGTATAAGCTCCCATCAAAAATTCCAATTTGCCTTTCGTCTTCTTATCGCGATCATCACTCAGGCCGGAACCTCGCGATTGCACCGGAGAACCACTCGGAGACATCGTCGTGGCGTTGATTCAAACTTTTCACGCTCACCGCAGCAATGATAGATTTTCGATATCTCAAACTTGTAAAACTCAGAAACTCTTGTATTGAATGAATTACAAAGTTTACAGACTCGATTAGTATCTCTCTAATACAAATCTGAAAACAAATACTCGATCTCAAGTTCTCATCACAAACTTGAGCTCAGACTCATCACGTCTAAGATCATCTACAATATCAAGCATAAAAGACTCAATCCAAACGATCCTCTTATTTAAAGTAGTCTAACGGCTATAACGGCAACTCCTCCCATCCAATCGGAGTCTTTGCTCAACTCTTCAATATTCATTAGTAGCCGAACCCTCCACTCCAAACAGATTCTTCTCTCCCGAACCCTCCACATCTAAACCTTCTGTATCAACTAAAGTCTTTTCCTTCCCTCCATTCTTCTTCCTTCGAATGTATACTTGTTGATACCTATCAGTTAGCCAGCTCCGTTGCAAGGTAAAAAAAGAATATGATCGATTGCTTTCTACAGGCGATGGCTACTTGGCACTGATAAGTTGAGTTTACAGGTCCGGCATGGGCCTGGCTTCTACGGGTGCAGCTTTGAAATGGAAGCAGAAGGAGATGTTGCGGTTGTACACCTAGATGAAGATGACCACGGTCTACCTGCTAGACAATTTGCAGCGTTCTATGAAGGAACCACTATATTGAGCTGAAGCCCTTCAACTCGCAGCTCTGGAAGACAAAACCAACCAAACTAGGGAAACCTGTCAAAATCAAGACGATGCCAGTTACAACATATGTTGTGGTTGAGCCAGCAAAAACCAGTGCAGAAGCAAAGCTTGCCAATGTTTGAAACAAAGGAAATGTGGGGCAGTAGTAGTAGTCTGAAGAGTTGAAAAAAATCGAGAAGCAAATGTTGCCAGAGGTCAAGAAACATAGATCAGGGGATAACTAACAGAGTAATAGTATATTAAGAAAAACATGGAGTTTAATATGATAAGAGTAGCATACACAACTTTATGTTATTTTTAATTTCATTTTTCTTGTTCCTTCCTGGGACTGATTTACATGCGCACATGTCTCCATGTGTTTGTCAACTAAGAGAGAGAGAGAGAGAGAGGGATAGAAACGCTTAAAGGGCTAAAAATAACGCTTGAAAAACGCTCTTGCATCAAAAAAATAACAATGAATGTTCTTTAATTTTCATTTCTATAATTCTCCAAAAGAATCTGAGTAAAAGGAAAATAAAGATTGTGTTCCTCTCCAACAATCTTGATCTTCTTTCTTCTGTTACTTTGTGTTCTTTCTCTCCATTTCAGACATGGCTATACCTGCAGCTCTTGTATTCATCCCTGTTGGTGTCCTCTTCTTGCTCTCAGGCCTCATCGTCAATCTCATTCAGGTCATACCCATTTTTGTTTACCCTTGTCTTTTATCCATGGAAGAGACATGGCTAAAACAATTTTGTGTTCTTTAGATGTATATTAAATTTGATATTTCCGATTTGTTTTGTTTTGTTTCCAGCTTGTATTCTTCATACTTGTTCGTCCATTCTCGAGAAACTTATATAGAAAAATCAACAAAAACGTTGTGGAATTGCTCTGGTTGCAGCTTATATGGCTGATTGATNTTTTATCCATGGAAGAGACATGGCTAAAACAATTTTGTGTTCTTTAGATGTATATTAAATTTGATATTTCCGATTTGTTTTGTTTTGTTTCCAGCTTGTATTCTTCATACTTGTTCGTCCATTCTCGAGAAACTTATATAGAAAAATCAACAAAAACGTTGTGGAATTGCTCTGGTTGCAGCTTATATGGCTGATTGATTGGTGGGCTTGTATAAAGGTTTGTGAATTGTATTAAACTCTTTGTTTGGTCTGCACACAAGTGTCTAGTCTGATATGTGATATTGAGTTGTTGCTGCAGGTTAATTTATACGCTGATGCAGAGACTCTAGAGTTACTTGGTAAGGGATGAACTAAGAGTTAATGTGACCTAAGTCTTTAAGTACTGGAAACTAATGGTTCCTGTTCGTGATATTCAGGGAAAGAACATGCACTTGTTTTATCAAATCATAGAAGTGACATTGATTGGCTCATTGGATGGGTCATGGCTCAGGTCTTTGCCTGAAACAAGATTTCTTTATATATTTGGGGAAAAATCTTTTGTATTCTGATCGAATATTATTTGATGAAATACAACAGCGTGCAGGTTGTCTTGGAAGCTCTCTAGCTATCATGAAAAAAGAAGCCAAGTACCTTCCAGTGAGTTTAGTTTTTTCTTAATCTTCTTGTTTTGTAGGTGTCCTGTGTATCACATCACTACAAATGTTTCAACAGATCATAGGTTGGTCGATGTGGTTTTCGGATTACATTTTCTTGGAAAGAAGCTGGGATAAAGATGAGAAGACCCTCAAGGTTAGTCTTGCTCTGATCCTCTCTTGAGCTTTATGATGTGTTTGAAACATGTTTTTATTATACTTGTTGCATTGCAGGCAGGTTTTAAACGGTTTGAGGACTTTCCTACAACATTCTGGTTGGCTCTTTTCGTTGAAGGAACTCGTTTCACTCATGAGAAGCTTGTAGCTGCTCAAGAATACGCCTCTATCAGAAGCTTACCATCTCCTCGAAACGTCTTGATTCCTCGTACAAAGGTGAGTTTCACCGAACACAAATTTGCTTAATTCAAGTTATGGTTAGCTTGGACTTACACAGACGCAAACTCAGGGATTTGTTTCGGCGGTGTCGCACATACGGTCATTTGTCCCTGCGATTTATGATTGTACCTTAACCGTTCGTAATAATCAGCCTACACCAACTCTGCTTAGGATGTTCAGTGGACAATCATCTGAGGTTACAACAAATTCTAATGTGTCTTTTCTTTTCTTCACATAAGAAAAATGTGTGCCCACTTAATAGAAACTCTTTGTTTCTTCTTTCTGAAGTTGAATTTGCAGCTGAGACGTCACAAAATGAGTGACTTGCCAGAAACTGATGATGGTATTGCACAATGGTGCCAAGATCTATTTATCACCAAGGTTCACCAATTATATTCTACTCATCAAACTTTTCAACTTTCAAACTGTCTCTACATTACTTGATTGTGCTTATTTTTCAAAACCAGGATGCTCAACTTGAGAAATACTTCACAAAAGACGTGTTCAGCGACTTGGATGTTCACCAAATCAATCGGCCAATCAAACCATTGATCGTAAGAAACATGACATATTTTACTGCTAATTGCTATTATATTGATTCTCTCATGAAATATGTTGATGTTGGTAATATTGTGGAACCAGGTGGTCATAGTGTGGGTATGCCTTCTTATGTACGGTGGATTCAAGCTACTTCAATGGCTCTCCATGGTAGCCTCATGGGAGATCATTTGCTTGTTTGTGATCATTTTGGTGATTGCAACTATAACAATGCAAGTACTTATTCAGTCTTCTGAGTCACACCGTTCAACTCCTGCTAAGAAACCTCTACAAGAACAGCTTATTTCTGCCTAGGAGACGAGAAATCTCCTTTTAAGCCAGAGTGTTCATTTTCTCATTTTTAATATCAGTATAACTAATATTATTATTTGATTTATTATTAGTATCTTCGATTACGTAATACTGTAGGTTATCAACCATTTTATATGTTTTCCTTTAATCTTTTTTTTACTCACAGTATCATCGGTCATTTTAGATTTGACAGTGGCTCCTCATATGATTCTTTGTCTTTTTACTGGTGATTGAAACTTAACCATTGCGATTTATGATCCAATTTCCCAATCAAAAGGGCCTGCCAGAAAACCTCTATTAGAATCCTCTATCCAAACATAGACTTCACATATCCTTAATACAATCTACTACAAACAGAGACTTCACATCGCCTTAATACATTAAACCCCACATGTGTATTATGTATTTTATGTCACATATCTCCATGAAGCCACAACAGTGTAATGCCATTGAAAGTAATGTCATGAACTACCTTGGCTCGAGAGTACAAAGAGCTCCCCATATGCCTTCCAAGACAATGTAAGCAATCATAGATCTTCTCAGACTCCGGTCTCGATTTATCCCTAACAATAAACTCACAGTAAACTCCATTAACCACAATAGAACTGCAACCCGGAGTCTTCTCTACGCCTCTCTCATTCATCATCCTCCTCGCTTTCGTTGCATCTTCCCACATATTAGCCTCTCCATACATTTGATCCAACAACACATAGATCCCACTATCACCAGGATCAAGTTCTTGAAGCTTATTAGCCGCTTTCTTTCCCATTGCAACATTACCATGCATCTTGCAACCAAAAAACAAAGCTCCCCAAACCGCAGCATCTGCCTCCATTGGCATACTCTCCATGAGGTTCTCTGCTTCTTCTAGTAGTCCGGCTCTTCCTAGTAGGTCTACCATAACAGAGTAGTGTTTCAATTGGGGGTTTAAGTTGAATCGAGACTTCATCTGAAAGAAATAATCAAGGCCGGTTTGGACCATTCCTGCGTGGCAACAAGCTGATAATAACCCTATGAAAGTTATCTCATCTGGGGCTATCCCTGCATCAATCATTTCATTAAAGTATGATATAGCAGCGGATGCATCTCCGTGAAGTGCCAAGCCACCGATGATCGATGTGTATGTAAGTGAGTTTCTTGTTTGCATTCCATGGAAAACACTGCGAGCTTCGGAGATGTTACCACATTTGGCATACATGTCGACCAACGAAGTCCCTAGCGCAACATTAAGACTAAGATTATGTTTGTCGATGTAACGATGGATCCAAACCCCTACGTCAAGAGCACCAAGCTGCGAACACGCAGAGAGGCAATGAATCATGGTGATTTCATCAGGCTTTGTGTTGCTAACCTGCATCTCTTGGAACAAAGCCAAAGCATCTTGAGGACGCTTGGCATGGACTGATCCACCGATCATAGCATTCCACAAAACAACATCTTTCTCTTCCATCTCATCAAAAAGCTTCCTAGCAACATCAAGCAAACCAAATCTCGCATACCCTGAGATCATCGTGGTCCATGACACAAGCGTTCTCTTCTCCAATCTATCAAATATACTCCTTGCCTCGTGAACATGTCCGCATTTTGAGAACATATCCATCAGAGCATTAGCAAGAGGAACAGTCATTCTAACTCCCTTTTCTCGTATGTATTCATAAAACTCTCTCCCAAGCTCCAAACTTCCCAGCATAGCACAAGAAGAAACCAATGCGATCATGGTCACATCATCCGCCTCAATTCCTTCAGACTCCATCTGCTTATAAACCTCAATCGCCTTCTCAGCCTGACCACTCTTCCTATAACCATTAATCAACGAGTTCCAGGAAACTAAATCTCTCACCGGACTTTCATCGAACACCTTCTGTGCATTCTCCATCTCACCAAGACAGGTAAACATATAAATGGAAGCGTTATGCACATGAGAGACCAACTCCAATCTCAACTTAACAACATGGCCAAGAATCATATGACCTAATCTACTCAACGCGAGATCAGCACAAACCTTGATCAGAAGAGGGTAAGTGTAACGATCAGGTCGTGAGTCACCACCAGCGTCTCTAAGCATCTCCTTGTAGAGCAAAATGGCGTCTTTAGGGTTTGGGCTCTCGTAGAATCCTTTAATTGTTACGTTCCAAGCTAATGCATTAGCGTTCTCAACTCCGCTCAGGAGCTTCACAGAGTAATCGAGGTAGCGAGATTCTGCGCAGAAGGCGATTAGTCGGCTTGAGTCGAACGGGACGAGGATCGAGGCGTCGATAGTCATCTGCGCTTGAATCTGCTTCAAGTGGGGCAAAGATTCGCATTTTTGGAGTAATGAGAGATGAGGGTTGTGGAGGACGAGAGTGGGTGTGGAGTTTTGGTTGATGGGTTTGTCTTTGTGATGAGGAAGGGAACGAGTTCGACGCTGAGAGTGACAGTACAGGGAGCGGTTTAGTTTGGGTATCAGAGGAAGAAGCTTGCCTTTGCTCACATTCGATATGTTCATCGGCCGTTGATTCTCGTCCAGGACTGAAAGAACCTCATCTTCTCTCCTCCACGAGATCATATAATTGGGCTGGCTACAGGCCGAATCCGTTTGGGCTCTGTAAGATATGTTTTTTCTTTAAAGGCAGTATTAACGGTAGTTCTAATCAGAATACAGAATTGGTGTCAACCAAGTAGGAGGATAAACTTTAGAATTAATAAAAATGTCATTACGAGGTCCTTTTTGTGCCAATTGATGTGCTGCTTGATTTGAAGAATGCCTTGCAAATGCAAATTGGGAGTGGTGCATTTTCCTTTTCCATAGACGAACATCTTTCAAGATATTAGTAAGAGAAACGTCTTCTCTGGTGCCGTTAAGAGACTTTACCAATAACTCAGAATCACCTTCAAATATTACTTGAGAATACCATGTTGTCCAAGTCATCTGCATTGCGATTAGAAGTGCTTTTGTTTCAGCCTCAAGACTTGATTTAGCTACACCAAGAGCCGCGGATCCCCACATTTTAGCATCACCTCAACTATCCCATAGGATCCACCCAGCTCGAATTTGGCCTGAATTTATATTGAAAGCTGCATCATAATTACATTTAAGAGAGCCTACAGGAGGCTTTGTCCAGACCAAAAAACGTGATAATGGAGTCGAATTTGAGATGAAAGAGTTATGAAACGTAGTTTGGTTTAAACTCAAAATCAATTCTTGGACATCTGCTAATCGATCCGCAACAGTTGAATGAATTAAGACTTTCTTATGCCGGAAGATTAGTGAATTTCTTGATTTCTGATACAATTTTATCATTCTAATAAAATTCTAATTTTGTCGAAAAAAACAAACGGTAGTTCGATGGTGTGTCCCAAAATGATATTTTGCGGTGTTTTGAAAACCAGAACCAGACCGACCAGTTGAATCGATTTAATTGTGACTCGTTGAAAAAGTCGAGTCCGGTTCGGTTTAAAACTCAGATTTGAGAAATTTGTAAACATGATAAATATCGATAAAATCGGTGATCCGAACTAACTTGAAAATCTGATTATCAAATATCAACACATTATATGTGTTTCAATTGTTATTAAAATTTACTAATTTATAACCATTGATTATTATTATTTCATTTTTTCTATTTAATTATATTTCTTTAAAAAAAAGAATGTAAACTTATCCTTATGGCTCTCCTACGCTATTCATGGTTTGTCATATTCATGAAGTTTAGGATTTTAGTTGTAAGTAAATAAATGCAGCAATTTGAACTGTAAATCATTTATGTTTTTATTAGTTTAAGTTTAACACTTTACAAACAAAAATAATATTTTTGAGATGCTTTGGTTTCCTAATCTATATTATTGACAAAATGCATGCATAAGAATAAGAGTCTTCTATATTTTCAGAAGCTGTTGGGAAACTCGTGGAAGTACAGTGAAACCTCTGTAAATTAATAATTTTAGAACTACACCAAAATTATAATTTATTTAAGAATTTATAAAAATTATTAATTTATTGATATACTAATTGAACCAAAAAATCAATTTGAGATTATAAAATTATATTATTTTATAGAAATTTTTAGTGTATATTAATTTATAGAGTATTAATTTAAAAAAGTTATACTGTATATGTGTTTTTAATTGTACATGTATATGTTTTTAAATTTGATTAAAAATTGTAGATGTATGTCTTGGACGAGAATTAGTCCCAAGTTCGATTACTAGGATGTTAACCATCAAACTTCTGCTTATATAAATAAAACATGTATCATAGATACCAATGCATGAGGCATGTAAATAGTATTAAGTTGTATTAGTGTTGTGCACTGGTGGTGCATACATAGATAAAAATGTTTGGAGTGAGAAAACAACGAAGAAACAGAAGACAAGAATTTTTTACAAAAAAAAAGAAAAAAAAACAGAAGACAAGAAACGGTTTGAAAGAACGTACTGAAATTGCCAAGTGAAACCACAAAACATTCACGCTCGTGCTATCTCGGGAAAAAACTGTGTGTCATCCCATAGGTTGGACTTTTAATCAAAAATGTTTGAGTTTACGCATTGCCTCCAACACAATTTAGTTTCAAACCCACACAGTCTTTGACCCATCTTCACAATGTTTTGCAGACCACAAACAACATAACTAGTCATTGTATCACTTAAACCCTATAATCTAGCATCGGTAACTTAACTGGTTGTGGCCATCTTTGTTTTTTTTTTCTGTTTGAAAACTGATTGTGGCCATCTTTTTAGCAAAAAACAAGTGGTCATTGGCCAGTGGCCACCTGAACGAGAACTTTTTGAGGTCGCAAGTTGGAATATGGACAGTGAAATTAAAGAAATTACTAATATGTTTTAGTCACCGGTCAGACATTAACACCTATAATATTTTGTACTCTTTAGGAAAATTATCATTGTTAAGCATGGCAGTACATATAATTGGTTTGTTTGATTTTTTATATCTATTTGAGAAAATTGCTATCGAATTCTTATATAAAATAATTTATTTCTTCTTTTACTTATAAAACCAAGACAACTAAATATAATAAAATTTAGCTTCTTCTTTTGGTATAATTATTCACTTGCAACTTAAATATGCAAGGAGTAAATATTAAGAGTTTAGATTTGCTTAACTCTTAATGTTCATTGTTAGGGTACACTCATAGCAACAAATGAGCTAATCTATAGACCATAAGGGACAAAAAAAAAATTAGAATTACAACGAAAGAACTACTTTTAGCATTATTACATCACATACAAACATATATATATATATGTATATGTATATATGTATCTATTATTATAAAGAAGACTTCTCTCCCTTTTGGGAGTGTCACATCAGAAATTCATGGAATCTGGAGACGACACGTGGCACATTAAGACACAACGCAGATTTTTTTTGTTTCGTCCACTTTCTGATATGTTATGGGCTTTGGTGTCGCAGGCTCGCAGTCTATTTATTTCCCTTTAACCCTTAAGTTAGATATATGATGTGAAACACAACGTTTTAAACTAGGGTTTCAGAGGGTTTCATCGTCGCCTCTCCTTTTCTCGGCAGATGTTTCATCTTCTTCAGCGCCTCCCTAAAGGTACCAGTTACAGAAACATCAGGTTAAGACGTTCCATTAAACCTCCAGCCACAATCTTTATTCAATTCGGGATGTAAAGTTGCAAGGCGGTGGTTGTGACCTATAAACAGGTGAGCTCTCCCACCTTGATAATCATTCTCTCTTTTGTTTAAAACAAATCAGTAACGACTCATGTCAAGAATTGCTAACGTCTCTGTCTTCCTCCCTGATTTGATTTGCAGACTGGCCGCTCCACCGCCTCAGTTCAAATCTGTTTGCTTCGCTTCTAGAAGGTCCGAAATGTTTGCCGTGATGGAGAGCTCATGGGAGTCGACATGCTCTTTCTGGATTCTTAGGTCTGTTCTTGAGCTCCGCCTTCTGTTCTTAACACTTGACACATTTTTCCTGTAAGAAATTTATTTCCCAAAAACAAAACTTTAGAATAATGTTTCTGTCGTGTTTTCTCCAATTCCCCCGGCTAATTATTAAACGGAGATAGCACATCGGTTACGTAACCAGATCTTCCAATTCGTAGATCCAATTTACCACCGTTTTTATTTAAATTCCTTTATTCTGTTTCAAACATGATTTTTGTGTAAAGATTGATGATTGTTGTGTCTATTTTACATTTATTCAGGCCACCATGATGCTGGCCACCGTGAACTTCAAACGACTCGCTAGGAATGTGAAGCGCGGTCGCGAGCTAATGGAGGTATTGACTATGAAACTTTTAAACCTAATATTTGGTTTAAATGAAATCCATTTGTTGATGTCTTGATTATCAAAAATATTTCCCAGAAGCGTTTGATTATCTTGAAATATTTGAAGATGATTATTGTTTTGTTTGTTGATTCTATTTTTGTTCAAAACTTTTTATATTTGTTCTGATTATTTTCTTTCGATTTGATAATTAAGTTTTTTGCTTTGTTTGTTTTACCTTATTCTTTCTACCTTAGCTAAGTATTGGCGTTGTTCTATTTTTTGGTGATCTGAAGGCAAAATCCCCCCCAGACTTTCAAGAAAGAGGACTCCAATAAAAAATTTGTTGTTGTTGTGAGTGATTCTTCACATTAAAAATTATTTCTACCTTACCCTCTCAATCTGTAAAGTTGTACTGCAGTTAAAGTTTCATGGATAATCAAGTTGAACATGGATCTGGAGACCAGTGGAAATCTATGTCATATGTTGTGTGTCTAATACGTATGTTTGACAATAATGGAATTATGTAAATCAAAAACTGAAACCATGCATATTCCAAGTAAGGTTCAGCCATATCTCTTGATATCTACTTTGATTTATCATTTATGTAGAAAGATCGTTCAAAACAAATCTTATTATTTTAAAGGATTTGTGCCTGATATTCTTATTTTTCAGATCTCTTTACGCAAAGGGATGCAATAAAACAACTGTATCACTGTAATGAAGCTTCTCTTTGAGTGGCATTCTGGGATTTCTCACATTTATCATATGTTTTTGATTTTTATGTATTTAATTGCTTATGTTTATGTTTACACTTGGTCCTTAAAATACTTTTGTGCGCTCATACGCTAAAGCTTTTACTTCTCTAATTTTTTTATTCGTTCATTTCAGTGTGTTCACTAGATTTAGGCAATTGGAATTTGATGCGTGAAGTTGATATGAATAATGGCCAGCTTGAGCTTGATTCCAAGAACCAACTAGATGCTATCACACTTTTCTGCTAAGTTTTCATGAAGATATCAGTAGGAAAGACAACACAAATGTGGACTATCTGAAGTTCGATAGCATAATATAAGATGTTTTAAAGGATCTTCTGGATACTGTTCTATTTTTCTCTCTCTTAGCATGTTAACTAGGTAGTTTATCAGTATGATGTATATTACTCTAACCTTTTTTGAGGAGTATACGTATGATGATCAGTGTAAAAACAACCAAACAATGATAAATGGAAAGAAGAATGTGAGATGTGGTTGACCACACACATTATACTAAAAAAGAAAGAAAACACACAATAAAAAAGCTCTAAGTAAACAAA